TTCATTTAATATTTTCATTCACTTAATATTTTCATTCATTTAATATTTTGATTCATTTAATATTTTCATTCATTTAATATTTTCATTCATTTAATATTTTCATTCTTTTAATATTTTTATTCACTTAATATTTTCATTCACTTAATATTTTCATTCATTTAATATTTTCATTCACTTAATATTTTCATTCATTTAATATTTTCAATCGCTTAATATTTTCATTCACTTAATATTTTCATTCTTTTAATATTTTTATTCATTTAATATTTTCAATCGCTTAATATTTTCATTCACTTAATATTTTCATTCATTTAATATTTTCATTCATTTAATATTTTCATTCATTTAATATTTTCATTCTTTTAATATTTTTATTCACTTAATATTTTCATTCACTTAATATTTTCATTCATTTAATATTTTCATTCACTTAATATTTTCATTCATTTAATATTTTCAATCGCTTAATATTTTCATTCACTTAATATTTTCATTCTTTTAATATTTTTATTCACTTAATATTTTCATTCACTTAATATTTTCATTCACTTAATATTTTCATTCATTTAATATTTTCATTCATTTAATATTTTCATTCACTTAATATTTTCATTCATTTAATATTTTGATTCATTTAATATTTTCATTCATTTAATATTTTCATTCATTTAATATTTTCATTAATTTAATATGTCCATTCATTTAATATTTTCATTCGCTTAATATTTTCATTCACTTAATATTTTCATTCATTTAATATTTTCATTCATTTAATATTTTCATTCATTTAATATTTTCATTCATTTAATATTTTCATTCATTTAAGATTTTCATTCATTTAATATTTTCATTCACTTAATATTTTCATTCATTTAATATTTTCATTCATTTAATATTTTCATTCATTTAATATTTTGATTCATTTAATATTTTCATTCACTTAATATTTTCATTCATTTAATATTTGCATTCATTTAATATGTCCATTCATTTAATATTTTCATTCATTTAATATTTTCATTCATTTAATATTTTCATTCATTTAATATTTTCATTCATTTAATATTTTCATTCACTTAATATTTTCATTCATTTAATATTTTCATTCATTTAATATTTTCATTCATTTAATATTTTCATTCATTTAATATTTTCATTCATTTAATATTTTCATTCATTTAATATTTTCATTCATTTAAGATTTTCATTCATTTAATATTTTCATTCACTTAATATTTTCATTCATTTAATATTTTCATTCATTTAATATTTTCATTCATTTAATATTTTGATTCATTTAATATTTTCATTCACTTAATATTTTCATTCATTTAATATTTGCATTCATTTAATATGTCCATTCATTTAATATTTTCATTCATTTAATATTTCATTCATTAATATTTCATTCATTTAATATTTTCATTCATTTAATATTTTCATTCACTTAATATTTTCATTCATTTAATATTTTCATTCATTTAATATTTTCAGTCACTTAATATTTTCATTCACTTAATATTTTCATTCACTTAATATTTTCATTCATTTAATATGTCCATTCATTTAATATTTTCATTCACTTAATATTTTTATTCACTTAATATTTTCATTCATTTAATATTTTCATTCATTTAATATTTTCATTCATTTAATATTTTCATTCACTTAATATTTTCATTCATTTAATATTTTCATTCATTTAATATTTTCATTCATTTAATATTTTCATTCATTTAATATTTTCATTCATTTAATATTTTCATTCATTTAATATTTTCATTCACTTAATATTTTCATTCATTTAATATTTTCATTCATTTAATATTTTCATTCACTTAATATTTTCATTCATTTAATATTTTCATTCACCTAATATTTTCATGAGCAACTCAATAGTATATTATTTACCAGCAACACTGTTGCTTTATTAAACCCTTCATTCGTTTCAAAATCGCCATCAAAAGGATTATTGATTTAGATAAGAAAAACGTGTCGCTTTCGTCATTTCCTTTGTCACAGCATTGCAGCGCATTCAGCAGGCATCGCATCGGGCACTTAATTTGTTCCACAAAACGCCTCACAGCTCCCAAACCGTGGCTCATTAATCAATTTGATTATTGAGCATTTGTTGTGCTGACTTTTAGCTTTTGCGCCCCAAAACACATAAAGCACTGCACTTACTTGCACGCACACACACACACACTTAGACACACACACACACAAGCATAATTGTTTAATTTATTATTATTTGTTTGTTTGGTTAGTCGCTGCGAGTCTCCGAGTCCAGCGATTTGTCTTTGAAATGCTTTTCAAAATAATCGTCAATTCAATTTTCAATTTCTTAATTTGTGCGACGACATCTGAAAATAAGCATTGTATGTGATAAGAGCCGAAAAGCGCTTTCCAATTTCCTCTGCGGGCAACACAGAAACCGCTGACCCCTTTTGTGTGATAGTTTAAACAATTTCGCCACTGCCTGTCAATATTTTTATAGCTTATCGCGGCAGCATTTGGGATGCGAGCGGTGCTCTGGGCTTTTGTGACCAATGAATTATTAAAATATTTATGTCAGCGACAACAACTAAAACAACAAAAACAACAACAACAGCTCATGATTAATTACAATGGGGAGATTTTGAACGCTTTGTGTGCATTTTGCGATAAGCGTTGATGACGACGACGACGAGGAGCATTGAAGAGCTTCCGCATTTGCTCTTCAGACTCAGAAACTGTGTCAGCAATATTGACAGACAGAGAGGCACACACACACACACGCACACACGCACACGCACACACATGCAGACATATTTACACAGCAGCCGAAGGCATGTAAATAAATCAGAAAAACTCATTGATTAATAAATTAGTACGAAATGGATTACATATTAAATTGCTTTACAATAAATTCCCAACAGTGCTGCTGCATTTGGCCCACACACACACACATATATATATATTTATTGTACACACACACACACATGGAAATTATTTGCACAGCTGTCAAAGCTTGACCTCAATTTGAAGCGCAGCTTTTGTCTTTTTTGGCTCTGCCACCAAAATATTTTTCATTGTTGAGTGATTTATGCCGCCTGCATCGCGCTCTCTCCCTCTCACTCTCACTCTCCCTCTCTTCTCTCTCCCTCTTTCTCTGTGTCTCTGTGTGTTTGCTTACTGACAGGTGCGTTGAAATTTTCTGCACACACACACACACACACACACACATATATATATTTTTGTAGCTTCAGTGTCCAGTTCATGATGGCGCTCGAAAAAACTTTTGCGCCTCTCTTGCGCAACAACACACAAAATAAATTTCACTCGGGGGCGCGCCAAATGTGGAAAAAAAGCGAGAGAAAGAAAAAAGTTTGTTCCGCACCCACCCACAACAAAAATTGAAATAAATAAAAATACTTAATGCAAAGTTTTTGTTTTTCCGCTTTGGGTCAGGTCGGTTTATCTTTCCTAGATAAGCAACGTGGGTCGCAATTTAAGAGCCACGCCACATTTCAGTATTTCCCATTCAAAAACGGCAAGGCGAGCAAAGGTAACAGGCTATATATTTAAATGCCAAGCTCAGCTCTATATTGGACAACATGGGGAAGTTGATAATTTAGATGTCTTCATTTTAAAATGCCCATCAATAGATTTGGGCAACTTATTTACGCTAATAGATACACTGATTGGATGGTAATGTAACTAGCAAGGCATTTAAATCTAGTATTTTTAAAAGACCCTTTTAATGAGAGTTTCTTTCAATTCTTCCATTTCAAAAATACATTTTTAAGCAATCTTTGTTTTAGAAAATGGATTTTTAGTTGAATTTTCTGAAGTTTTGAACAACTCACTAAGAATAATATTTACTTATTTAGAGTAGCTGCTTTTTATTCACTGCATTTTTAATGAGACTTTAAATGAGACTTTCTTGAAATTCTTCCATTTGAAAAAAAAAGCAAAAAATTTGTAAGCACTCATTGGTTTAGAGTATGGATTTTATTGATTTAAATTTCTCAAGTTTAGAAAATCTCTTACTAAGAAAAATATTTACTTATTTAGAGTAGCTGCTTTTTATTCACTGCTTTTTTAATGATACTTTAAATGAGCTTCTTTATTGAATTTTCTCAAGTTTAGAAAATCTCTTACTAAGAAAAATATTTACTTATTTAGACTCGCTTCTTTTTATTTACTGCTTTTTTAATGATACTTTAAATGAGACTTGAAATTCTTCCATTTGAAAAATACATTTTTGGGCACTAATTTTTTAGAATAAAGATTCTTTATTGAATTTTCTTAAGTTTAGAAAATCTCTCACTAACAAAAATATTTACTTATATGGAACCACTTCTTTTTTTATCACTTAACTGGAAGCTTCAATATCATGAGTTGTGCTTCCCCTTTTAACCAGACTATCACATTATCTTTGCTGCTTTCTATTGCCCCGTGTAAGCATAAACCCTCTCTCTCTCTCTATCCCTCTCTGCCTCTCTGCTCCCCCGTGTTGGCTCTCATCACTTATCAGTGGAGTGCCTTGAGTTTTTTATTTGCATATTTTGGCATAAATTGTGCAAAAATGAAGTGCCCTCTTAGCTCTTTTTACCTTGTATTGCGCTATTTGACCTTAATTTGCAGCCTCGAAGTATCTTTTCTCAGATGAAGCATAAGGCAGAAAAAAGCGCGACTGCAAAAAGGTTAAGAATCCACACACAACTTGCTGCGCTTTTGTTTGCATTTCGTTAGGCATATTTGCCAAGTTTGCTTCATTCTCGTTTTCTTGCTCATCCTTCTTTTTTTTATCCCATTTGCGTCCTTTGGCAGGCCGCTTGTTTGTTTATGGAAGTATATACGAAATGACTTTGTATTTAAGTTTTGTGGTTGTTGTTGTTGTTGTAAAGTTGGTTTACCAACAACAGCCTACGCTGTACTTTAGCTTTTACTTTTCCATCTGCTTCTTGAATACTTGTAATCATAACTAACGCTTCCTCTCTCTCCCTCTCTTTCAGATACTGGACGCCAGCCTCTACAGCAGTCAATCGTTGGCCACCTCAGCTATGATTGCGGTCTTCTCACTGCTGTTGGTCCTAATTGTGCTCATATCATCGCTCTTTGTTTGGAAGTAAGTATTCGCCCAGAGATTAACCAACTGAGCTTAGAAATTGTTGCTGCTAAGAATACTGTAGCTGTGTCTTCTATAAGTTCGCCTTTGGCTCCATGGATCGCCTTACCTTTGCTGGCCTGCTGCCTGGCGTAAATGACTCAATTATCTGCATTGTTGCATGCCACACACCAAGCAGCAGCAACTGCAACACAACAAAAACAACTCTTGCAACAAGCATTGTGTGTGGCTTTGTTTCTCTGTTGCTGTTGCATTTCTCGCTTGTGCTATTAACGCGCACTCCCCCTTTCCCCGCCCACCTGGGGGCAACTTTTACCACAAAGGGGGCGTTGCCCACAACATGTTGCATATTGCTGTTGCTGCTTGCTTTTGATTTATGTTGCAGCCTACACACACACACACACACACACACGAACAGACTTAGCGCATGCCTCTTGTCAAGCCAAAGCTAAAAACTTCACTTACTTGTCCGTTTAGTTGGGGCGTGTGGCAGATTTCAATGCGGCGATAAGACAAAAACATAAAAACTGAATAATTATATGGCAGGCAATTTGTCGTGGCTTAGTGGCTAGTAAGTGGCAGGCAGGAAGGTGCCTATATGCTATTGTTATATAAGTATATTCTCTTGGTTAAATTTTTAAAAATACTGCCAATTGATTCTCGAAAAACAGCACTTTTTCAAAATTAATTCCTTTAAGTGCACACCTGATTGATATCTTTGGCGCTGCATACAAAATTTTAATTGTTTTATGCAAATGCCGCTTAAGTTTGTTTCTTTTTTCTGCGATTCCATTTGCTTTCCAGTCCACATGCATTGCATAATAACACGACCATATAAATCACATCATACATTTTTAATTACAGCCTCTGCAAATAAAAGCTGTGTAGTACATATATATCCATTATATGAACTATGCAGAGAGGCAAAAAAAAAAAAAAATGTGTAAGCAGACAAACAAATAAGTAAACAAACGAACGTAAAAAAGTGGCACGCTTCATAAAAATCATATACATATGTATGTATGTGTGTTTGTATGCACATTTGTAGTCTACATTTGCGGGCGCTGCGAATTCCATGAATAACAACACACTGACCCACATACACACACACACACACCTATACCCACTGTGTGTTGGTGCTGGCACTTAAAAACCAAAACTAAATTAAATTGAAATTTTAAATAAACGTCGCCGAAGCGAAAATTTACAAAAAAAAAACGCAGATGCAGTGGTGAATTGCAACACACACACACACACACACGCAGGCACTCACACATACCAACGCACATACATATAGACAAACATATACATTTATCAACTTTGAATGCATAAAGACAACCAGAGCAGGAGCAGGAGCAGTAACAGGAGAAGCCGAAGCAACAACAGCTCAGCGTACAGGGTGCACCGCACACCGAAAAACAATTTACTTTTATGTTACAACAACAACAACAATTGGAACAACAACAACATGGGGCAGCAGCAACAACAACAATAGTCAGGGAAAAAACGCGTCAAGCATGTGGCAGAAAAACTCGCAGATTGCAAACCAAATGAAATCTGCAGTAGAAAAAGAAAAAACCACAGCCCGGGCCAAAACCAACAAAAAATGGGGAAAAGGCGTAAAGATTTTTCAACGCACACACACACACACCAACACACAAGCCATTTGTAGGTACAAGTGAGAGTGAGAGAGAGAGAGAGAGAGCGAGACAAAGACAGAGCACGCTTTTCATCTTTTTCACATTTAAAATAGCTGTAAAAAAAACAGCGCTCTAGCATTTTTTCCAACTTGCCAAAACAGACAGCAACAAAAAATCATTTGACTGTCTATATCCGAGTGTGTGTAAGTGTGTCTGTATGTCAATGGCTGCCGTTTGAATGCCGCCGGCATACGGCTTTAATGGGTTAAACACATTAAGGTTTTTGCTAAGCAAACACGCATTTGTATAATTACTAAGCGCTTATCTGTTCGTAAAGGAAGATAAGCAAGCAGAGCGACGGAGTGGGAATGCATGAGAGAGCATAGAGTTGACAAAGAAGAAGAGAGCGAGCTATAGAAGTAAAATAATAAATCTTTTAAAAAAGCTGATTAACTTATGAGTTGGTTGGAAGTTCGATAACTTACCCTAAAGCGGATTATTCCTACTTCAGAGCGCGATTGTGTAACTCCATATAAAATTATGTAGTTCCCTCTTTTTTGAAGTAATCTTTATCTTAGAACTTTAGGGCGCTCTCTCTCTCTCTCAGCCTCTCCCTCTTTTTTGAAGTAATCTTTATCTTAGAACTTTAAGGCTCTCTCTCTCTCTCTCAGCCTCTCTCTTTCTTTATCGATTTGAACAGATTTCACTAATTAATTGCAATTGTGTCTTAGTCCCTAGTCTACAAATTGAAATTCTAAAGCTGAAAGCGTCTTTAAATATTTTGAAAAGTTTTTCAGCAATTATTGAAAAGTTAGTTTGTTTGTTTGTCTTTTCGTGCAGTCTTCTGTATTAACATTATCTACGAGAGTATTCTTCTTGATCAGATTAAACAATTTAATCTTGAAACTCTCCAGAGTAACTTAGAGTTTTCTGCTTGTCCTAGCCATCCACCTGTTTGCCTAATAATTAGGCTAGAATAATCTCGCATTATCCTTCGACATCTGCTAGCACTAGGTGTTGGCTCACCATTTAGTTGCACTTTATTTTTTGCTTTTAATTTGCTTCTCATAGAGCCTCATTGACAGAGCTTAGAGGTTCTGGGGTGTAGGCGAGGCCATCAACACGTTTTCAATTCCGACACAGCTTCACATCGACATCACTATCAACAAGTGTGTGTGTGTGTGTGTGAATCGATTTTCCTGTAATGCCTAAAAATGGCCAAAATTCATAGACAAACAGCGATGGGGGGGGGGGGGGGGGGGGAGGGTTGGGGAGAGGCGCTCTGACAGCAGCATCAGTTGCTACAAACGATTTTCATACATATTCATTAAAGTTTTCTGACCGCACGCACACACACACGCACGCCCAGAGTAGTGGTAGTGTGTGTGTGTGTGTGTGTGTTACATACACAAACAAACACACACATGCGATATATGCTAAAGAAAAGCAGACAGAGTGAGTGACGGAGAGGCAGAGGGAGGGACAGAGGACGCACATTATTGTTCTTGCTCCTGCCTTTGTGCTTCATCATTTTTGAGGTTATGGCTCAGACCGGAATTCCGCACGCATCTTTATTACACGCACACACACACATACATAAACCGACCGTTACACACACACATATAAGTGAGTGTTTGTGTGTTGATGATAGTCGCCGCCATTGCCAGCGTAAATGCTATCGTCGTCGTCGCCGCCGCTTTAAGTGTTGCCACAAACTTGCCCATTCTGCGTGTGTGTGTGTGTGTATGCCACACACACACACACTCCCACAGTTGACTGCTTGTTGTTGTAAACGGATATGAATGCCAAAAAGCGCCATTTTTGTGGCATTTATGATGTGCAACATTTTTTCTCTGCTTTTTATTCGCATTCAGTGGCGTTGTTGTTGCTGTGAGGGCGCGCGTGAATTGCCCAAATATTCTTGTACCCTGCCTGCTGACCATTGCGTGTGGCCCAAACAAACGCACACACGCACACACACACACACACACACACACACGCAGAAAAATTCTATAAATAAAATAGCAACTAATTTTATTTATTCTTTTTGCTCGACTTTCTTTATCTCGCTGTGTCGTTGTTGTTATTGTTGTTGGGGCGTGTGCTTCTGGTGCCAAATATCTATATAAATAAAATAATAATCATAATGAAATCACATTAAATGTTAAGTTGTTGTTGTTGAGGGTGTGAAGTCGCATTATGTTTATTTTTTATGGCCATTTCTTTTTGATGTTCGTTCCTTGTGGAGGGATGGAACATTCCTATTATCGACAAAAGCAAATATTTGTTAATACTTGTTCGATTTGAATTCCTCAATTGATGAATTGCGAATAGTTTTATGCTGGATGTTTAAACTCATTTTCTTTGCATTAATACATGAATATTTTTCTGCGGTTCGTTCATTTACTCACGCACTCAGAGCCCATAAATCTCTGGCGGCTTTTGCAATTCCGTTAACCGTGTAAATATTTAATTGCAACGCTTACCCCAAATGATTATCATACTATAATATTCAAATATTTTTACATGCCGCAAACGCACAAATAAAGTGAATAAATATTGAGCAGAAAAAATACATGCAGACGAACACACATACATACATGTATATTGCATTAATTACGCCCGACAGAGTGCTGCCCGCCATAATTACCTTAATTATTTTAATAAACTGTGTGTCCCCACATCGTCATCGCCATCGTCGTCACCAATTCCCCCAACTTACTCCATTTAATAACTTTGCCTGCAAATGTTTACACATTGCACTTTATTAATTACCTGAAATGTGAGCTGTCGTTGCATGTTTTTCAATGAATTTTTTTAAATATTATTTTACATGCAACATGTGAGCGAAGGCAAAAAGAAAATAAAGCTTGTCATTAAAATTACTAAAATTGTTGCCAGTTAATAATATTGCTTTAAATATGTTTAATTTGTGAAAGGATGGGTGTGTGTGTGTGTGTGGGGTTTTCCACTCTTTTCTGTTCTTTTCGGGTGCAGTGAAAATAATTTAATTAAATATTTGAGCAGGTTTTAAAAACAAACATAAAATATGTGCTAGACTTTGTCAAATAATTGAATGGAATGTGTGCGCAACCTCTTCAGTTACCCAACCACAATTATTAAACGAGTACAGTGGAAAGTGTTTATATAAGTTTGAACTTTATTGTGCAATGGAAATTAATTGCCAAATGTACAAGCAATACAAAAAGCAATTTAAATTTAAATGTTCGCAGGAATGAAAAAGTGAATGGGGGACTAATTCCCTTTTTTCTTGATTTTCTATTTTGAATTCCTTGCTGGCAGCTCCCACTGTATACAGCATCGGTCGCACTTTTATGGCTCATACATATTAAATAAGCCAACGGTAACTAAAGCAACAATGAGAAGCGTGCCTAACCAGGTCCCCCACTACAATAACAACAAGAAGTACAGCAACAAAAAGTTATGACTTGTGCCCTTGTTGTGCGCCAGGGTTGTGTTGTTGTTGTTGCTGTTGCTGTTTGGGTTGCCGTTAAGTCGACTGCTAAATAAATAAAATCAATTTTAGCTGCTTGCAATTTTATTACGTTCATTCATTTCATTTCGTTTCGTTGTCCGACTATCTCTCCTACTTGCTCGCCCACTCCCACTTCCCCGCTCTCTCTCTCGCACGCTCTCTCTCTCTCTCTCTTTGAGTGTGCAAATACGGTTTATTAAAAGCAAATACACACACACTCATACGCATAGGCTTGGAGTATGGCAACATATGATTGCGCCCCCCTCCCCCCTCTTATGCATACAATCGTGCAATAACAATCACAATTTGCTTCTTCTTTCTTCTTCGCTGTTGCTTATTATACTTATGTTAATACACACACACATACACACAACTTGAGTATGTATGTAATATTTATGTTTGTGTGTTTATTTGCATTTTGACAGCTGAATAAAAGGCCTTGTCTGTCTCAGTCGCCGATCTTCCCTTTTAGCTCAAGCAAGGAGAGTGAGGCACTCGTTCTCTTGTGTTCTCGCTCCCACTCATGCAATGTCACTTCCTAGCTGTAGTATTATGAATATGAATATGACTCTCCTACTCTCCCACACTCTCAGCTCTTTTGTTGGTCTGCCTGAGTACCGTTACCTTGACAATTTTTAATCAAGCCCGCTGTTTGGAGTGCAAACAGTCTGCCATTCCCTTTTATTAATATTTATTTTTAATACAAAAATTGCTCGCAAATAGACCAGACTCCATGCCAGTGCCATGACAGCCTTCGGTTAACTCGCTTACGAAGTTATTAGCATCAACTTTTTGTTTGATAAAACAAAATTATTCACCTAGCGGTAATTTGATATCTGTGGGCTGAGCTGGCAGCAGTTCTGTGTTGGTGTTGTTCTTGTTGTTGTTCCTTTTGTTGCCTTTGTTGTTGTCGGCTTTGCGCTTTGTTGGCAAGCATCGATGCATGAGGAGCCGCATAAATGTGGTCAGCAAAATGCAATGCCGGCCAGTTGACCGTTTCAGCAACAAATGTTGTGCAACACCGGTGTTGTTGTTGTTGTTTTTGCAGCCACCCTGCTTTATACACATAAATACATAAATCCAACGATTTGCCACAACTTCTTGCCCCTGTTGCCGTTGTTGTTGGCGTTCATTTATTTTATGTTCGACACAAAGCATATGAAATTTCCATATCAAAGTCTTTTTTACTTATGGCCATTTAACACGCTACGTGGCTTTCTGCTTTCCTTGAATGCCGTCGGGATTGGGCTTGGGATTTGCCTTTTGTAGTCGCCAGTTGGCAAGTTGGCTATTGGCTCTGTAGTTGTAGCCCTTTCCTCGTCTGCAGTTCCTGTACTTCCTGTAGCTTTATGTTTGCTCTGCAGCTTTGGCAGCAACCCTCACAACTTGAGTTCATAAATAAAAGATTCGTACTCGTCCTCGTCCTCGTCCACCCCTCCTTCCTGCCAAAAACCAAATGTCTACATAGATACAAACACACACACCTAGACACATTTTATGCGCAATCACATTGTTGCTATCATCATCCCCCCAAGTCTCCCCCTCCCCAACTAGACACTCTCAATACTTTTTCAGCGCTGCACGTTTTTATTGTAAATTGCTTATGCCAAAAAGTGGAGGGAAAAGAGCGTAGATCTTGCCTCAAAGGTGTGCTTGAAGGCAGCGCGTGTGTGGCGCCCCCCATCAGTTGCTGCAACCCTTTCTGCATACTCTTTCTTGCGAAAATTGTACGACACTCTGGGGAGCGTATGGGCTGGTGCTGGGGCTGGGGCAGGGGCAGCAGATCAAGTCGGCAGCACGTCTCAACTGGCCATAATGGTTAGTTGCAAGGCTACCAACACGAATGTGCGGCAAGAATCAAACAAAGTGCTTAAAGGGTTAAACAAACAGAGCGCCTCACACACACTCCCACACACCCTCGACTTTGAACAGAGACGCGTTGATTTCATTTTTACGCCTCGTAAATGAAATGAAATGAAGCACAGGCTGTGTGGCAACATCTTCCTGGGACCCTTGTGTCTTGTGGCATGCCACATTATTTAATTTACTTTTAAGAAAATTCTACAAGCACACAGCCAGACAGATAACCGGGCTAAAAGTCACAGCAACATGCCAAGCTAAGCCAAGTCAACAAGGCAAGACATAAAACATACACCAAGCAGCAAAAGTCTATTGACCAAATCAAGTTTCGAGCTTCATGAATAAATTAGCAGTATGAATTTATTTATTCAAGACTGCAACATTAATAATGAATTGTGTTGTTCGCCTTCTGACACATTTGGTGACCCCTTCGTTAGCCGGCCTGGTAATCCATCATATAAGGATTTATGCGTCACACGTGAGGATATTTAACTTTAATGCTTTTACTCTTTGTCTCAAAATAAGAAATGTACAATAACTTTAACTTAGCAGGCATGCTCATATTATTTAGAAAATGTATTTATTTACAAATGAATTTCACTTTGCTGTCACTATAATTTCAATAGGCACTGTAATGTCTTCACTGTCGCATGATTTTAACAGTTTGTGCCATGTGTGTGGCGCCTGCAAGTAGGCAACAATTTTTAATATGCGCGCTGTCAGACAAGAACACAGACACAGCCAAGTAAGTCAGGCGACCCACCTACTTATTAGAAATGTGGACCAGCTCTTGACTTGTGGGGGTGTGTGTGTGTGTGCATGTGAGTTGGTATGTTCTCGTTTTTACGAGCGACTTCCGTTTGACAAGCCTAACATGTTTACCAACAAGACATTACACTTGGACCGCCCCAGCCCCCGCTCTTAACACGCCGTAGGCAGCAACAGTTATGGGACACGTTAGGTGGCGTCAATTTAATTTCGCATTTTTCATTATGTTTATATGAATGTGGTTGTATGTGTGTGTGCGTGTGTGTGTGCATTTCCATATGCTGTGCGCACCTTTTGTGCTGCTTGGCATGCTTTAAAGCAACAACAACAACAACAACATATTTTGCCATGGGCAACACTTAATTATGTTCATTATTTTCATGGCACTCGACTCGACTGGAGCCGACTCGTTTCGACTTGTGTCGTCGTCGTGCGGTTCTTCTTGTCATTGCGTTGTTGCGCCTTTTGTGCTTATTCAAATTTAATTTTCTGTAGCACACTTTTGGGCTCGGCTGTGGTTCCCCTCTCCATCCCCCCCCCCCTCTTGCTGCTTCTTTTTTATTAATAAAATTGCTGGTAATTTGAGGCTAAATGAAATACCTTCTGCCTGTGGTGCCTGAGCACGTGCTCATCTTTTTTTAATGCTTACCTGCCATTTAATGTGGCATAAATCAAAGAATTCCCCCGCCCGCCCCACTACCCTGTTCTGTTGTCCACTTTAGGGCGCTTGACATTCTACTGCCATTACAAATCGATTTATCTTCCCGGAACTTCAGTCGTCCAATCGTCCAGTCGACCAACTTATGGCCGTGTCTGTCGCTCTTACAACGTAATCAACGTCAACAGCTTCAGCAGCGTTTCCTATTTAGTTCCTTCTGTTCTTCTTCTTGTTATTGTCGTTCTATTATCTATATTTTGGGGCTGTGGCATCTTTTTAAGCTTGCCAGTCGCCTTTAAGCTGCTTTGCTCAATTAAAGTCTCATGCTTGAGCCAAATGAGGCGAATATAATAAATAGAGTACGAGTACGAGCCAGTTCGCTCTGTCCCTCTCTCTCTCTATCTCTCTCTCTCTCTCTCTCTCTTTATCTCTGCCATAACTTGAATTCATGAACGAGTTCATAAATAGAAGAACGGGATATTAAATAACTGAAGCGATGGTCAGGAGAGGAAATAATTTTCACAACAACTTTTCATATTTTAGAAAGGAAAGCCCGTTGTAATTAAGTCTAGAATAGCTATTGCTGATGGGACTTTCTGACAAAGTTTAGCTTAAAGCAGCCCTACCTCATAGTTCTCAGAAAGTCGCTTAAGCCTAAACTGAATAATAGAAGAAAAGACTCTTAGAATGATTGCTCACGAACATTGGCTAAAAGAGGTCTTCAACTGAAACAAATCCCCAGCTAGTATTGGTTATCAAATATATTACAAGATTACAAATGGTCAATAGAAGATGACAAGTTCGAAGTAATCGAATTCAGCTTCAGCTCGGTGATAAATTTCAGCCTCTACATAATTTTATGAGAAACTTCATCTCACTCTTCCTGCTAATAGCAAGCATAAAACTAATAATTTACCTCTAAGTTTACTTATGAACTTGCCGAATATTATTTACTAATAATTCATGTTTTTCCCGCCCACTCTCCTCGTTGCAGAAACAAGCGAAAGGTGCAAAATTTGTTGCCCTGCAAGACGCCCACTCGCGGTCCCCTGAATGGTGCCGTGCCGCTAGGCGGTGCCGCACACAGTTCACACGCGGCCATGTACGAGGATCCGGACGCGCATTTGGGACACCATCGACCACTCGTTATGCGCCATCATCATCACCATCCGCACCATCATCATTATCAGCAGCATCATCATGCCGAGGTACGTATCCGTTTAATTATCTGTTTTTTTTTTTTTTTTTTTGTTTGGGGAGGAAGTTGCAGCAAGTTTTGAAAACTTGCTTTTCGACAGGTCGTCGGGGTAATCCAATATCCTATACCTTGGCTGCTCCTGGCAGGCGGCCTGCCTTCTGCCAAATATTACGACAATCACTGTCAAAACATTGCAATGTCATTGTCAACTGTCGAGTTGAGTTGAGTCGAGTCGGGCTGTCGCTGCTGTTCAATTCAATGCGTGTAAAACGAAACCGCATTTCCTCGAGCCTTTGCGAAGGAAACAAAAAAATATATATGTGTGTATATACTTGTACATTCGCAGGATCAGAGCCATCCTTTATGCACACACGTCTTTATGTTGTATTATATTATTCATATATGTATGTCCATTGCTTTATTTTTATTGTGTGCCTCAACGCCTCAATTTACACTTGAACTTGACGTGGCATAACCCATATATGGCATTACACACACACACACAAGGACTCTCTTTTGTCAGCTTAATTTGTGAGTGTGTGTGTGTATCGTCCTGCCTGCCTGCCTGCTTGCCGGCCTGAATGTCCTTTTTCTGAGCCGTCGTCGCCGTTTTTACGACTCTGACGCGAACGCCTGCGGCATTGCCCGGCGCACTTTTTGCTGCCATATCCTTCGCATATCCTTTTTGGCTTTCATATTTTTCGTTTCGCATTATTTTTTGTGCTTTGTCAACGTTTTTGCTTTGCTCTCCGGCTCTGCCGGCTGTGCTAAAAATGAAGTGTGTGTTTATTTTATTGTCTGATAAACAGCTACTTAGGCGACATTAGGGGCGTGGCCAGCCATGTCCTGCCGCCTACGAACAAAATCTGTTTAATGTCTATTTATGGTTTTTCATTTTTTACACGCTGTTTGACATCCGCTGAGCTTTTGAGTTCACTTTTGTTGACATTTTCAATATGTGGCATTTATTTTTTGCGCATCATAAAGGAGACAGCGTTTCTAATTAGAATAATCCTGCTGATCCTGTTAATTACGAGCTAAGCTTGCTTGTTTCTTCAATCGAACTTTGGTTGAACATGCAATACTCTTTACAAACGTTCTATTGATTATGTTCCTGGAGCCAGGAGGCAGGACATACGTTCTCCTGCATTCCTTCGAACTGATCTGACAGCTCGCGTTCCAATTTCCAAGCAACCCTTTGCCGTTCTACGCATAATTTTTACACAACTCTTGTCCTGCTGTTTGTTGCTTTTTCTTGTCCTGCCGCTGCTTATTTATTATTCAGTTCTTTGCGCTCCTGTCGAGCTTACTGTGCCTCAACAACTGCTTATGTTTATGTCTCCCCACCCCTCTCCCTTAGCCGCTCAGTTCGTTTTCAGGCTTTTGTGTAATGCAAATGCCTGACATTTCGTGTCTTAAAGTTGGCGAGGCTTAAAGAGCACACAGACAAGGACTTGCTGTAAAAAGAATGCAACGGCTGACAGTTTTGGTGTGGAAGTTGCTGCTAAAAAGGATAAGCGCAAAGCGGCTTATGCCTGCCGACGGCTTCTAATGCCAGCCAACATTTATTGCACAATAGAAAAGGCTGAGACAGAGCCAGAGCCACAACCTGAGGGCATTTGCATAACTGGGAACTGGGAGCTGGAAAGTGGGGAGTGGGGAGTGGGAAGTGCAGCGCACTCGAAAGTGAAAGGCCCTAGAGAAGTGTGGGCGTAGGCGCTTCATTTAACAGCATGCCTGAGCGGCTTTTGGTTTTACACTGCCCTACTTTGTGGCGCATTAGGCCGTAAGTGCTCGCGCCTGAAGCGCATGTCTTTTGCTAATCACAATAGATTCCTGGAAGCATTACCTTAAAGTCCTTTAACAATGACTGCCTTACTAAACAGTTCTTCTCTTTTCTTTCATTGCAGATGCTGCACGGGAAGAGCATTCACTATCCGAGTGGCTATCCTATGACGCGCTCACCGCCCTTTCTGGTCAGCTCATCGCCTGGCCCGGATCCCTATCGCTCCAATGACAATGTCTACGAGGAGCTGGGACCAGGACGCGTGGACTCCGATGGCGAATCGGAGCCGCCACTGCACTCGGACGATGATTTCGCCGAGGACGAGTTGTCGCTGCCGGGCGAGTGCAGCTTCAATAAGCTGAATCCGACAGATGTGGCCGCTGCCACGCCCACCGCCACGCACTCGACGCCTTATCATGAGCGCGCTGGCGGCAGTGGAGCGGCAGCAGCGGCCGTGGCTGCGGCTGCGGCAACAACAGCGACTGTGGAAATTGCCGCACAGCCAGCGCCACAAGAGCGCCACAGCGTGCTCAGCTCCAGTTCCTCAACGTCCACACACGACGCCTCGACGGCCACGGCAGCATCCTCCTGCAACAACAACAGTAACAGCAACAGCAACAGCCACAGCAGCAACAACAACGATCAGTCGCCAGCAATGGCGGCGACATCGTCCACGGGCACCTTGACCGGTGGGCCCTCGAGTCAGCTGCTCTCTGGCATGTTGCGGCACACGACTGGACGCAGCAAGTACCAGAGTGCGGCGCAGCGCAGGGAGCGGCTGCCACGCGCCGTCGCCACCTCCCATCAGGATGAACTGAACACGTCCAGCAGCACAGCCGATATAGCGGATATAGCGCCCTTGTATGACAATCGCAGCAACATGATGTCGCTCGGCTACTTGCCACAGCAGCTCCAGCAGCAGCAGCAACAACAACAACAGCACCCACAACAGCATCCCATGACGCGCTCGACGGCGCCACAATTCTACAATACGCTGGAGAGCGAGGTGGAGCGTCGAAATCGCATTAACGCCCATCTGAGTCAGTCCGCCGCACCGCCAGTCTCCACAATATTCCGCGAGCGCATCCACTATCCCGGCAGCGGGCGCTACCAGCCCCAGCAGGCGGCCTATTATGCGTCGAATAGTGCGCAGGGCTTGCTGGCGGCCACGATGCGGGCTCGCACCAATCCCCGCCAGCTGGATCGACGTCTGGCCCATCATCTGCCGGCGGCCCACCAGCACCAGCATCATCGCATACATGCCGCGCCCTTGAGCGGACTGGAGCCCGCCTATGGCTATGCGGAGCCGGTCTATAATGCCAACTATTTCTACGACTCGGCCGGGGCCAGACAGCCGCACACACTGGCCTATGCCTCCACGAATGTGGCCACTCCTGCCTACATAATGCCCGACTATCGCCAGCAGGGCAGCATGCATCCAACGCAACTCTACGGCCGTGGTGGCGGTGGTGGTGGGGACTCCTCTTTCGGCTCCGATTCGGGTTATAGTCACCATACGCCTGCCTCGTCCATCGGACGACACGATTACGATCTTGCCGAGCCGCTGCCGGCGCCCAAGGCGACCAGCAAGCTGAGCGCAGCCCTCAGCTTTGGCTGGCACCGCAACCGCAAACAGGGGACGGGAAATTCCGGCAACTCGAGTCTGCGGAGCAGCAGCAATGAGGCCACCAGTCCGAACAATAACAGCGCCTGCTCCACAGTCACCTCCCAGCTCGAGCAATGCTCGCAATCGTCGGCGACGAGCGGCAACAATAATGTGAACGCCTCGCTCGCTGAAGCGTAGACTAGAGTCGAGGAAGTAGTCGTTGGTAGTTGATAGGACTTTAGAGTGTAAGTAGCGAGAGATCAGATCCTTCAAATCGTATCGTGCATATTCCTATACCGCTGTACAGTTAGTCATAGTCATAGATATAGAATCAATATGATGGATATGTACTTGTATGTATGTTTGTAGTTGAGGCGTGTAAGTGAAAGCAATAGCCATAGCAGCAGCTGCCACGCCCCCCGCGGCTGGCCAGTTGCCCTAAGTTTCTCGCTGTACAAAGTCAACAACAACAAAAAAACAACAACAACAACTAGTAGAGGACGAACTTAGTTTACTTTAAAGTTTAAACTGTAATGTGTAATGTGTAACTGAAAATGAAAATGAAGCAAAGAACTTATAGTACTTAAGTGTTTTTCAATGTGATTGCCAAATTCTATAACTAATTTATAGCCTATAATAATAGTAGTGTATGCTACGATGTATGTATTTACGATATAATAAGCAATTTCAACTGTATGTGTATCAATTTTAGTTTGTAATTTTATTGTTTGTTATTTTAGTTTTGTAAGCAACAACAACAACAACAACAAACGAAAACACCACAAAAAACACTTCAAAAATATACCAAAATATTCGAAAAACAAATTGAACACGACATTGGCTTTTTATTTGAGAGTTTAAACCTTGTGTTGCATACTTTTGTGCTGTGTGCTTGAAGAGAACTTTGAGTTGCATACTTTTGTGCGTCCTGCACAAAATGTACACCCACCCTCTGTTATTTAACATTGTGTTAACATTCGAAGTACATTTTCTGTTAACGAATTATTTTCGTTTTTTCCTGAGTTTTTCAGCTTCTTTGTTTGTCTTTTTTTGTTTTTTGAAAACAATAAACCGCATTTAAGAAAGCCTTTTCTAGGGAAGGCCTTGACAAGACTGTTTATATAATATATAGGAATAAATATCTACATACTACGTACGCGTATAGCAACAATACAAACAAAACATATTTTACTTAATGCCAAACAATAACTTTGTATAGAAAACACTTAGTTCGTAATGCTTGTAAACTATGACTAACCTAACCACTGGTTAAAAACACCCATTAGGTATATCGAGTGATCCTTGTAGCGCCACAGTATAGCTTAGCCTAGTTAACCTAACCAACAAACTTGTACGTATATGCCCCACTTGAACACTTGCTAGGTTGTATCCGAACTTGTATATAGTTTAGTGAACAAAAACAAAAACAAACACAATTACAAATGCAAATACAAATACATTTATGTGTATGTGTATGTGTGAAAATGTTAAATTTCTTATATGAGCACAATGCAATGTATCCTATAAATTAGTAGCCTAACGTTTAAATAAAGTCATTCCAACTACTGCTGTACATATATAGATACTATATATACCATACTTGTAGATTATACCCATAGAGATAGCGTAATGCAACGATCGATCGTAGGGACTTGGCCTACTCTTCAGCTAAACACAAATAATACTGCAATAATTGCTTTAGACGAAGTTCAAGTCGATGTGATTTTCGAAGCCCCAACTCTATGATATAATGTTAGTTTCGATTCTGGCATAACCCAATTGAATTGAATTGAATTGATTGGCTAGTTTGTAGATGAAATATTACCAAATATTATTATGCAACAGCACAATCATTGAGTGAGTGACAAGCCGCCACTAACCACAAGTAGTTGGCCAGTTCGAGCAGCTTAAACGACATTAACTACATATAGTATATATATGTATGTACGCATAATATATACTAACTATCTTTAGAGTTCCATTGAAATTGCAGGCATCAGACATCATTTTCCCCCAGAAAAACGCAAAGCCTTTCAGTTCGTTTCCATTCCAGTTTTCATTTGAATATTACATATCAATTTTTGCGAAAAGAGAATCCTTATTCAATATACAAGTAGCACACCTGGTTTCTAATACTATCAATATCAGTACAAAACTTCCACTGTACACATGCATTAACTTTGTATAACTCTACATATATATATATATATATATATAGTATACACACATAATACATAAATGATAATAGCAGAACTTAATGGCGTTCTTGTCCCTAAAAACTAGCTTGTATATAAGATACATACATATATAAAAAACATTACTCTAGTTCTTCCAGAAGCTAACACAAAAAACTGTACTGTTAAACTCCTTAGGTCCTTGCGTTAGTGAATCTATTTATTTAGGCATTTTATTGTACATACGACTTAAGTGTTTCGTTTTCTCTTTATAAGAAATTTAACGGCATATCAGCATCGACTCTATATATGTACTTGTAGATAAAAACAACAACAACAAGAACAACCACTTTCGTATACCAGAAAAAAGGATGTATTGTCTATAACTTTGAACTTTGTTTCACTTTTATTAACTTAGAATGCGAGGAAAAATGACGGAATAAATAAAAGTAAAAAACGAAAACGCGATTTAATCGAATTTATAATGTTAAAACGCCAATAGTTACACGAATAAATAAATCATAAATATATCAATTACAAATTATTAAACGAATTATTAACAATTATACAATAGTTAGTTTACAAGCAAATTTTTGTAAAACCAAATTAGTTCTCTTTCTATATACGACTAAATACTATACGAGTATAGTGCATATAGTATATGGATGCGATTGAACCAAAGCGGATAATAAGCATAACGATTTAAATCAAATTACACACTCAATGAACATTTTTGCCAACTCGCCCCTACCCCCTAAAGTAGTAGCCGTAATCTCATGATAATGATGTTCATGATGACTACATATTATGATGATAATGATGATGATGATAATGATGCTGCCGTCGGACACTCCCTTTAATTAGTAACAGCATTCAAATGGCAATCGCATAACAAAAGAAAGTGCGTCTCCGCACACTAAATAAAAAGTGAAAATTTTATTTTAAAAAATAACAAACGTATCTGTCGTGTTTTCCTTTCCTTCCTTGTCGCACCGCACACGGCGACCATTTGCCGCATTATGTATGTAAAATGGCGCACACTCGAAATGCATATGGCGGACTGCCAGGCCGGCTTGTTCATGTCCTTTCTTCATCGGCCTGCCCTTGTCCTTGCCCACTGCAGTAACAACTCAGCAGGAGCTGCCAACAACGGTACAGTGGGCTTTAAAACAACAAAAAATCAAAAAAAAGGGTGAAGATATAAAGTTGAGCCAGACCGGCTTCTTCTGATTCATGTAATTTTTGTTATCTAAATTTTGCTTTTAAGCGGACCGTATGAGTTAAAAATGCATTCATTTGATATTCAAAAATTGTTTGCAGTTTTCAAAAATCATTTAAACAATTTTAGTGCAAATACAAATTTGATTTGTTGCTTGAAAAATGAATAAAACCTAATAAAAAAGGTATTAGTGCACGATATTTTAATTGCGCCTTCTAGCGATCTTTATGTGTACCATAGTTGAAGTGACGTTTGAAGCGCAGGAAGTCTACAAAAACTCATTACACTCTGCATTCGAAGGTGTCTATGCAGATAGGATTTATTTATTTTTTTTATTTATTTATTTATCGACACAGCATATCCTTAATAGTACCATCTTTCCGTATTAAATGTATTTTAAAAGCAATGAACAGACATATTCCATCTTTCATTTTGTTAAAAACGATCGATTTGTCAATACGCCATCTATCGATATTTGTGCGTACCTCTGGTGGAAGGAGTGTAGACTTCTGAAATGTAGGAAATCTACAAAATCTCCTTTCAAGTCTATTCGGTGCAACATTTCTCTAATGGTTAAAAATTAAATTGCTTAAAAATATAAATGTTTAGTTTAAAAAACTGTGAATGAACGTATTTTATCTTTTCAATTTTTTTTAAGGAATATGACACAGTTATTAAAGTAACAATAGCGTCATCTAGCGATCTCTATGCATAGCACAGCAAAAGAGTTGTAGACTTGTAAGCTAAAGGAAATCTACAAAATCTCATTTCACTCTCCATTCAAAGTTTTGGATAGTTGCGTAATTAATTCAAGATCTAATGCCCAGCTCTGAGATAAAGATATCAATAGACGTGAAATCTAAAGTACTATAAGTTCTGAATTATTAATAAATTAACAAATCAAAACAAGTGCAAGGCCGACAGTGAATACCCTGTACCCAAACAAACTTGCGGCGCTGAGTTATATGCGCCTCTAGCAGAACCAAAATGAAGAAGAGCGAACTTGCCGTTTTGGATGAGATTCGAAACTAAATTTTATAATTCCATATAGAGTTTGGAAACAAATCTATCCATAAAGAACAAAAGCAATACGGTAGAGTTTTGTTCCAAATTCGTGGCATCAATTAAAAACGCATTGATTTTTGTTACAGATTAAGCGACATTGTTCCACTGTGCGTCGTCGCAACATGTCTCGGAGTAATGAAAAGCAAAGCTGCCGCTTTTAGGAGTCGAGCATACGTATAAGAAAGGAAAGTGGCAGGCGAGCGGCGTAAATCTGCAGCAAATTAAATATGCGCCAATGTGTGGCATGTCGGCTATACTCGTCTGTGTATGTGTATGCGTATGAGAGTGTGGGTGTGTGTGTGGGTGTGTGGGTGTGTGTGTGTGTGCGTTTGTTTTACTTCTTGCGCATGCAGTTAATGTGCTTATTTTAAAATTTAAATTGGCTTTTGCAGCGCGCACTTGAGCGGTTAAAAAAGGAGGCAGGAAGCTACTTTGCTGCCTGATGGCTGATGACTGCTGCCTTCGTTTTTTGATATGCAACCAGCCTCAGGCACTCACACTTACACACACACACACACACATAAACACCACACAGATATATATATATATATATATGGGATCTGTGTGCTGAGCGCAAGTTTCACTTTAATAGAAAGTTTTCAGGCGCTTTTCTTTCTTCATATTCGCTTTTTGCATAAAGCGCTCAAAGTGTAATTAACAGTTACTTGCACACACACACACACACACACGCACATGTGCGAAAAGGAAAATGTTTGCATTAAGATAAACAACTTAATTATTTTCTTAGTTTGTGGGTGTTTGGCACACTCATGCGTCTGTGTGCCTTGTTTATGCTGCGTTTTCACTTCACTGTGGTTGCACCTTCCGCAAATACTTGTTGTTGTTGCTGCTGCTGCCGCTGCTTGAGTTGAAGATGCATTTCAAGTGCAGCTGCCGGAAGTTAATTTACATGTTTGCTCTTAATGAAAGCGTCAAAACTTGTCAGGCAATTAGTGAACGCGTTTCACGCGTGCCTTTCAATTAGAATGAGCACTGATTCCGATTAATTAAAAGCTAAAGGCCATGTTAATCGCTTCGCGATAAGTAACATTGACAACCATTTGGCAGCAACACACAATAAGTTAGTTAGATTTTATTGTTTATGTGTCCGTTGCCAAGGCATTGAATTCCATAAATTTTATTAGCCTTTTCTTAGTCAACCTTTTAAAAGGCGCTATCAGCCCACCTTCCCAGAACGCCGCACGAGCTCTGCTTATCAATCAACATAAAAAGAGTTCCCAGAAAGTAACGCTTTTATTTGATTTATCAATAAACAAAAAAAAAAAAAAAACACTCAGTGCTTAACTATTTAATGAACCACTTGGCACATGGACGTGCCCGGAAACTGATATTTTCAAAATAGAAAATCTAATATGGAGTACTGATTAGTGAACAGACAGGCAGTAAAGGATGAAAGTTAAATTTAATTATTATTAATATTATGTTGACAGGCTTGAACAATAATTATAGAGTGTTTTTCTCTTCAATGAACAAGTATTTTTCCGCTGCATGTTTAAAATATTCCATTTTCTATGTGAAGTGTAAGTATTAGACATGAATTAATATTTTGTTAAGTATGTTTGTTTTCACTTTACTTCACAGCTAGCATGATTTTAAGATAACTGTATTATCCAGTTAAAGACAATTATTCTAGTGATACCTTTAAACCTTCTAGTGACCCTTGAGCTTGCGTGTGTGACTTTTTTTTTTTGGTGACTTTTAAACATTTTTTTCTTCAGCCAAAAAACACTTTGGAAATACAACACAACTGATATTGAAAGTGGCAGCTTGCCTGGAAACAGTTAGTCCATTATATGGCGATTATAGCATATTATAAACTGTACTATTGGCCAATTAATTTGCTTATCACTAAGTATCATTCAAGATACGAGTGTTACCCATTAGTATCAAGTATCAAAGATTTCCTACGCGGCATTGGTGCGGATGATAAGCCCCTCAGGTCTTATCGCTCAGATGATGAAAGCGCGATAATAAGGCACAAGACACACCCACCTCTTTGCGGTATCGTATTTCATTGTTTTTATTAAGCAATCAGTGTGATTTTTATGCAATACTATTACTAGATAATGGATGATAGCTGGCACGTGCGATTATTATTTTGTCTCATTCGGAGCAAAGGCTAATTTACTGCCTTCTTTGCCAGCTTCATGTTTATTATTAATCCAAACTTTATACAGATTCCTAACTTGGCTCTACTCACTCGAACAGTTTTTCATTCATGAAAAATTCACATTGTGGCCCAATTAAATTATTAAGAAACGAGTCACGAGCTTTGTTACCTTTGCGCTCAACTCGAAATTGTTTTAATTAAATAACAGAGACAAGCTGTGAAAAGTTACATACATGAACAATTCAGCACAACATGTTGTGTCTGCATGTGTGTGTCTATATGCGTACATGTATGTGTGTACTATATGTGTGCGACGTCTTCTCTCAGCTATGTAGGTGAAACATATTTGTAGTTAAAAGTTTTCAAGCAACTGGGGAGTCCGCCTGTTTCTGTCCCTAAAAGTTTTGTCTGCGAGACTCAAATTGGTTCACAGATCTAGATTGAAGAAATGAATAAAGTCTATTGTCAACTTGTAGTCTTACTTTTTGGATATTAGAAACTTCTAAACACAAATGCGAACGGGATTCACAAAATTTTAATTGGCCTAGCATTTATTATAAAGAAAACCTTTTTATTATTATAGAAATCAAATATAAGCAGCAATCAAATTGTTGGTAACATTTAAGAAGTCAGAACATATTTGGAAATTAAATTACCTTTCAAAATTTTTGACTTTTTACTGCTTTCTCTGATTGTCAAATGTCCAAACACTTGCATTATTTCAACCAAAATTTTCTTCAAGTTATGCGAATTTAGATCTTGATACTCAACACATTTTTCTGTTAATTTAAGAAAGCATATTCTTAACTTAAATATTTTTGCAAGAAAAATAGCGCATCTACATATATTTTAAGTCAAAAATGATTGAAATTATATACTTTTGTGAAATGTTTTTAGAACAGCATTCAAAAAATGTATTTTTTTTTTTGTTTATTTCTAGTTTTTTGCAAAAATGAGTTTTTATATAATTTTGTCTAGTCTACATAGATATATAAATATATTTGCATTTGTTTGAAAATTAATTCAAGTTATAAGAAAATGAATTTAAAAATCTTATTTAAAGAAATCGAAAAACCTCTCCCTAAACTCTTTAAGGATTTGCAAACTAGTTCTCACAGCGCTGCTGCCTATGCATTAAATATGTTGATGACAGGTACCCAAGAAACAAAAGAAGAGGATGACAACTCTGAACTTAGAATGTGTGTCAACTGTGTGCTAAGAGTAAGTTTTATCTATTCTCTGCTTCGTTTTTTATTCCTGCCCCGCACGATGGCAGTATTTGCGCTGTGGCCGAGCTGGAAGTCAGCGCCAGAGTTGAAAGTGAAGCGTGAAAAGCATTTAAAATTAATGTGGCATGCAGGTGTGCGCGAATGTTTACAAGACAGACTGCCGTTGCACACATCGCTGCTCAACACTGCACGCTTCGGTTTGGGGCGCTGCGGTGGCAGTGTTGCACATGGCCGACTTGTAGCAGAGTTGAAAGCGAACATTTTATGTTGACAGCCATAAAACTTAATGCGAACTGTAATGTTTAGGCTTGAATTCCATCGAAATGGCAGTTATCGCAGATATGGGCCGTTAGTTACATGTTTGGCGGCCACTTGAGTTCCACATGCCACTTATCAATCAACATACACTATCACACGTCGAACACATGCTCGCACAATTATCGGGCAGACTAATTGCAGGTACGTTTCAGCTGGAGCTTAAGGTCTCAGTTGGCTATCACAAGTGTTGGGCCGGGCCAGCAAGTGACCAGTTCTTCAAAATGCAGTCACATTGCACCGTGCGGAGAAAATTAAAAATCCCCTTTCCCCACAACTGATTCAACATCTTAATTCTGTTTTAAAACAATTCGTTGCTTCACTTAAAAAGTCGCTACTGAAGCTAAGGAAGGGTGTGTCAGACCGTTGAGCATTAATATGCTCAACAAAAATTCAATTTTCATTATGTTTTAATAGTTTCATAAAATTAACAGGTTCGATCGACAGACATAAGTAAATAATTTATGTTAGTGAAGTCTTTACAAATGTTGTGCTTTTTTCTAATGGATCTGCAGGTAGTTCTTCATACTCTCTATATTGGGTTTTCAAATATTATAAATTAGCATCTAGACTTGTACAAGAAAAAAACGCCATAGAATTGGGTAAAGCAAACATGATGTACAAAGCCCTACCTTTAAACTTAATTATAGACGATTTTAATAGTCTTTAGGAATTCATTCGCACTTGATTTCAATAAACTCAAAAGCCCTACCTTTTTACTTAATTATAGACGATTTTAATAGAGAAGTCTTTAGGAATTCACTCGCACTTGAATTTAATAAACTCCAATACGGAAAATTCTACGAAAAAAGGAAACAAATTCATGCCTGGTCGTCCCACTTTTCGCGTGTTAAATTTCAATTCAAACTCCAGCTTTCAATTATTGCTATAATACTAATATTTATTGGCTAGCTTGATTTATTAAATTATTAAAAAAAATAAAATGTATTATTCGATTGATTTGTCAGCGAATTGATCAACGAACCTTGCCCGTTTGCCAACACTGCACAAATAAGACAGGTTTATCATTATAGATATCAACATGATTAATTACCCATTAGCCGCACATGATGTGACCAACAGACCTTTAGGTCTGCCCTCGTGTGGCATGAATTCAGTTACTCTGTTCGAGTCACAAGAATCGCATTTCCGCGATGTCTCTGAATTGGAATAAACTGGCGGCAGGTACGCTGCAGGTTCTATTCTTGCTGCTGGTCGGTCCCAAGATCACAGTCAATGCTCAAGATGACAATCCATTGCAACAGTGCACCTCCAGTTCTAGCGTGGATCTCGATTTGGAGCAGGTGGGTTGCTGAAGTTCGAGTTCTGAGGGGTTGTCTGATCTGTTTTTCATTTCTTTGGACAGTTCAGTGGCATTTGGTGGGAAGTGGCACGTCAGCCGGCAGCCAGTATGTTTTGCACCCAAATAAACATTACGGCGGTGGGCAATGACGAGGTGGATATTGTCACCTGGTACTCGAATACGGCCACCTATCCGTGGGTGAATCAGAGCATGACTTTAACTAACTTCAGCATGCAGGACACGATACCCAATACGGGGGGGTATAACCTATCCTTTGTCGCCCCACCCACCGTGACGCCCTACACGGCATTCAAAATTCTGGCTACCGACTATACCAACTACACCTTAATTTGTGGCTACACCAATGCCACAGACTCGACCACAGCGTTCGCCATGATCCTTACTCGCGATCGCACGCCCAGCACCGACGCTTTGACCGCTCTGGAGACACAGGGATCTACTTTCAACTCGAACTTCGGCAGCTCCATGACTCTTGTGACTCAGGATGACACGTGAGTAGTTACGCCCTATGCTTTATATGTACCTGAATCTTCAGTAAGCCTTGCCTCCTTTTCAGATGCTACGACAATCACAGCAATCGAAACACTTTCTCAGTGCTCTACATATTCGTGATGTGCCTTATCACTTGTCTTTTAAATAATTAACTAGTGCAGTTTATATCTAAAATATTGAATTATTCATAAATTTTGTGTTACATAATTGTTGTAGATGTTGAAATAAATTCTTAGGTCACCAATAGATATGAACAGACAAGTAGAATTGACATATTAAGAGCACCCACAGCAGCTGAGAGCACAATAATGTTCAGAGTAGAGCTCCAGAGAGGGGACTGTCACCGGATAATACAAGTATATATGCCCTACTGTTCAATTTTCCAATTTAGTTATCACAACAGATACCATATCATTTTTGAATGCCATGCACCTTGAGCTCAATGTAATTAAAGGGCTTAGCTCGTTTACAATTTTCTGCTGCGATCACGAATGGCATTTTCCAAGTGGTGGGGTTAGTCCACCTTCGAGCGCGAGTCTGAACGTACCCTCAACATGTCCGCAAGCTGCCACACCCTAATATTTTGTCTACTGATCTGCCCATTTGCTCCGAAAACAATACTTGCGCTTGGCCAACAGACAATCGGGCAGTTCTGTGATTCCTTTACTGGCACGACAATTAATGTGACGCAGGTACAAGCACTGTTTACCGAAGTTATAGTCCCAAGTAGTCACAAGTTATCCAATCTATTTTTTCATTCAAGCTCATGGGTGAGTGGTATGAGGTGGGCCGCCTGCCAGCCGTCAATCTGTCCTGTGTCCAGACAAACCTTAGTAATGACGCACAGCAGGACACTGTGCATGTGAATACCAGTTTTTTCGATGCAAGCCATAAACCTATGATTAAATACGACACAGTAAGCGCAGTACCGTTGCCAAATATGTCGCCTTTCAACATATTCCCACTCGTGAACGATACATTAGACACCACATGGTACAAGATCGTGTCAACAGACTATACGAGCTATTCATTCATATGTGGATATACAAATGGAACCGGAACAACAGACACCTTTGCCTTTATGCTCACACGGAATCAGACATCGCTAAGTCAGGGAGTATGCGCGGTAATCGGAAATCTTAACATGTCGATGATCGTGGAAAGCTCTACGTGAGTAACCAGCAGGGCAAAGCCAAAGGATGCGTTTAACATATACTTTTATTTGTTGCAGCTGCGGGACCGATCCCGGCACAGACTCCAGTTCAACACCTGGTCCCACCAGCCCCAATGCCAGCTCCATCATTTCTTTTCCTATACTATACTTTCTGTTAGCCCTTATTGCTCTGCACTTTTTGTTTAAATAAAATGAACTTTTCCTAGAGCAGTTCAATTACATCTACAAACTTGCATTTCGCTCGTTCTTTTTTTCCACCGATACAGACTTACTGTTTTTTAATCTAAAACCGAAAAAATCATTTGAGCAGTTTAGAAAGTCAGGGCTGATATACGAGTAGTTTATAATTTTCACTTACATAAAGCATTACTTAATATTTGCCCCTGGAATGGGGAAACTATAGGTTTTGTGTTAAAGGTAATACCTCCGAGGTAAAATATAACCATAAAAGCACATTTATCTTATGACTCAATATTTCGCAAAAAGATAACTCGATTACTGAACTCATTTTCATTTCCTCAAAATAGCGCCAATAACATTATTATGGCAGCAATTTGGACGGCAGATAACAACAGTCTTCATAAATTTCAACTTCATAAAAAACATATATTTATTTATGCAGTACTGTGTTGCTCTATAAGTCACCGAAAATGTTTTTAAAAGCAATAGCGTTGTAGCGACTGAAAAGCTTTAACGACCCCTTATATTTACAGCACATAATTCTAGATATTTTAGCCTGAGCTATATATCTGATAGTGTTAGTGATTGTGTTTTGTGTTACTTTAATTAATATAACTCATTAGCTCATTAACTCACTCTGCATATTAGCACTAGCGTATTCATTAAGCTATGGTCAGACATGCAAATTATTTGCACAACCATTTATCTTGGCTTAAAAGTAACTTTTGAAATGAAATTCCACAGAAATTTGTTGTCTTTTGGTTTGTGAAATTCGACACATTTCTGTGCAAAAGCTTTGCCGATCTGACCATTGTATGCGCCACTTTGTTTGCTAATTAAGACCTCCAATTGTTGAGCTTCCGTTTCAGCTTTTAGGTCTGCTTCTTCTACCCAAACACAATTAAACTTCGATCACCTCTCTATATATCTTATCTAATCGCAGAGTGGACAGTTACTCATAAACTCATTTGGCATTTACGCATATCATTAACATTAGTTATTCAATATTTAAATGGCATTTACCAGTTTATAATGAGGCAAGAGCTAAGGCAGACGGATAAAATGTCATCAGTCTCGGCTATATGGTTACTCACTTCTTTGTTTCTCCTATTCCATGTGCTTCCGATTGATGCACAAAATGAAACCACAGCGGCGAAGAGCTGTAGGGAGTTCACCAGCATAGCTCTGGATGTGGACAAAGTGACATTGCTTGGATAAATTAAAAATAATGCACAGGCCAACTGCTCTACCCATTTGTTTTTTCAGTTTATGGGAACATGGTACGAGGTGGCACGCCAGCCGTCCAATGGCCACGCCTGCATTCAGACTATCCTCACAGATACGGGACTAGATACCGTATATATTCAGACTAGATACTCGTATATGTACGACAATACTTGGATCAGTCCATATATAGTGGCAGTTGTTACGGCACTCAACATGACAACTAGCCCCAGCCCCAATGGCTATACTGCCCCCTTCTTACTGGGAAACTTTTTACTGCCCTGGACGACTTATAAGATTTTGTCAACGGACTATGAGAACTATGCCCTCGTCTGTGGCTTTACGAACGCCACTTCCTTTGGACTTATAATGACGCGCGAAAGGCAGTCGAAGCAACAGCTGTTCGATGCCTTTGAGGTTGCCCTCGATCCTATTTATTCAAATATCATAAACAGTAGCCTCTCATTCGTCATGCAAAACGCAACGTAAGTGAAAATTAAAATGTTTTGTTAAAATGTTTTGCTTAAAATTAATTTTCCTCTCTTTTCAGCTGCCTGCCATCCAGCGCCAGTACTTTTAAGATTCTAACAACGTTCAATTCACTAGGAATGCTCTTTATAATATATGTTTTAGGCAAATAAATGTAATACCCTGTACCCAGACGAATTTCAGAAGAAAAAAGAAGAAGAAGGGCGAACTTGATGCTGCAGTTTGTGGGCGTAGTACTGGAGTGAAATTGTTGCGCTAATAAGTTTTCTTAAAACCAACCGATTTAGATGAAATAAAATTAGATAATTGTATAGAAATTAGGTGTGCAAAGTTTGGTTAGGGTAGCTTTTGAAATGTGGACAGTATTGACGAAATTCTGTAGCGGGGGAAGGGGGGGAAAATCCAAAAAAATAAAATAAACTCCTTCTTTCTCGGAGAAGAAAGAAGAAGAATCTGGATACCAACTTTGGTTATTCCAGCTTTTATAGTTTCTGAGATACTTGCGTTCATTCAGACAGACGGACAGACGGACGGACGGAATATATATACTTTAGTGAAGAAAATGTTAATAAACACAATTTAATTGTTAATTGAATTTAACCAATCCTCTGTTCGACATAGCGGCAGTGTAAACTGATCGTTGTTTCCCTTAAATTTGTGTCGCTTGCCACATTACGTGAGTTCAAAATGTGGCAAGAATTGTTTTCAATTTATGACGTACTCGTAACATTACTTGGTTAGGGCTTGCGTTAGCCGATTTCTGGTGATATCTATCGACACACACTGTTTTTTTTAGGCATTGCAAAAGTTATCTTATCATAACACTATTGAATGCAATTGTTTTTAAAAATACTAGCTTATCTCATTTACAATTTACTACAGTGATTAGAATCGGCATGCTCCAAGTCACGCGGTCAGTAGATTAGTATTCATTGGAAAGCGAGTGAAGGCAGACCATCGAAATGTTTGCACGTTGCCGCGCGCTAATATTTTATCTGCTGATCTGTCTTTTTGCTCGGCAAACAATACTCGTGCTCGGCCAGGTGCCAATCGATGGGTTCTGTGCTCGCTATTCCGGAAAAGATGTAAATGTGACACGGGTACGAGCACTGTTTATCGAAAGATATACTCAAAATTAATCACATAATCTGTTCTCTCATTCAAGTTCATGGGGGAGTGGTATGAGGTGGCCCGCGTTCCGGCAAGCAATTTGTCTTGTGTGAAGACAAGCCTCGGTGTTGACGCACAGCAGGACATTGTAAATGTGAATACCAGTTTCTCCTATGCAAGGGAGAAGCCTTTTATTACGTACAACATGATAGGGGCAGTATCGGTTCCAAATCTCGCGCCCCTCGACCTATATAATTTCTCCTACACACTGGAGAACTCTGTATTACCCTACACATCGTACAAACTCGTGGCAACAGACTACGACGACATTTCATTCATATGTGGATATCAAAATACGAGCGGAACAACAGAGACCTTTGGCTTTGTCCTACAACGGGATCCAATAATACGGAGCCAGAATACATCCAATTTTATCGCAATACTTGGCATGTCGATGATCGTGCAAGGCTCATCGTGAGTAGCCAGCAAGGCATTGCCGATTATCCTCTGAAGAGGATATAAGTAATACAAGTATATATGTATGTTTAATCTTTAACTTTCATTTGCAGTTGTCCCGGCTATACCCCTACTCCCAGCAGCCCCGATTCCGGCTCTACACTTTCATTTTCTCTCTACCTTCTGTTAGCCTTAATTTCTCTGCACTTATTGCGTAAATAATTTATAATTAAATAATAAAAAATTTAGAAACATTTACAAACTTGCATTTCGTTTGTTCATTTTTTTTTAAAGATGATAGATGGTTGACCAATGAATTGTTTGTTTTCCCAAGTAACTAGCCATTGGAAACTAAGGATGTAGTTAACAACTGATGGCTAGCGAGGTAACTTCGTATTAGATGTTTCAGTCGACATTTTCCACATTCATCATTCAGTTATGACTTCAGGTGATGAAAGTGCTTAGAAATTTTCTATTGTTTATAAGTTTTATAAAAACCTCAAAGATTTTATGCTTGTTTAGGAATACGAAGTATCCAAAGAGTGGAGGATCAGAAGATCGGAATGCATGTTTTAAGGATGATGGAATGAATCGAAATAGCCATGCTCGCCTATATACTTACTATATAGTCGAATAAACGGAACATATTGCGTCACTACACTTGGCACTCCGATTTGCCAGTCTTATTGCATTGAATTGTGAATTGAATCATATTTATCTGTTCTGTTCGTTTCAAATGTGAAACTGAACTGAAAGTCACTTTCATTTTCTACTGCACGGAATTCTCACTAGTTCTCAGTTTTGTGCGAGCCAAAATTCCAGTGAATTGTTGTAACATCCATTCGCAACTCATGTGAACATTATTATTAGACATTTGTATGTTCATAGAGAAAAGTCCCACTACATGACTAATATCCCATTAGCCAATTAGGGATTTATTTAGCTATCGCAAAAGATATCATATCATGATTGAATACAATGCAAGCATGGCAATAAGGGATTAAAAGGATTTTTTTCAATTAAGGGCTTAGCTCAGTTACAACTTACTACAGGGGTTATAAAAGACATGCTTCGAGTCGTACGGTTAGTATTCCTTCGATCGCGAGTGAAAACGGACCTTCAAAATGTCTGCAAGCTGCTGCACCCTGATATTTTGTCTGCTGATCTGCCTATTGGGTTCGCAAAGAATCCTTGTGCTCGGCCAAATGACAGTTGCAGACTACTGTAATACCTTTCCCAGCATGACAATTAATGTGACGCAGGTACGAGGACTGTTTACCGAAGTTATGTTCAAAATTAGTCACCCAATCTATTTTTTCATTCAAGTTCATGGGCGAGTGGTATGAGGTGGCCCGCCTTCCGGCCAACAATATGTCTTGCGTGCAGACAAACCTGAGTATCAACGCACAGCAGGACGCTTTGAATGTGAATACCAGTTTCTCCTATGAAAGTGATGAGCCTTGGAACAAATACGACATGATAGGCGCAGTATCGTTGCCAAATCTCACGCCCCTTAGCTTATATAATTTCTCCTACACACTCGGGAACGTGTCATTACCCTACTCGTGGTACAAGATCGTGACAACAGACTACACAAACTTTTCATTCATATGTGGATATTCAAATGCAACCGGAACAATAGATACCTTTGCCCTTGTCCTCTCCCGGAACCAAACATCACTGAGCCAGGAAGCAAGCGGGCTAATCACATCGCTTCAAATGCCGATGATCATTCAAAACTCAACGTGAGTAGACATTGTTTTTTTGCTCTGCTTTTAAAGTACTTAAACATATAACTTCCATTTGTTGCAGCTGCTCGACCAATCCCAACTCCAGCTCTACCCCTAGTCCCACCACCGCCAGCCCTACCAGCCCCAGTCCAACCAGCCCCGGTTCGGGCTCTACACTTTCTTTCTCTATACTCTACCCTCTGGTAGCCTTTATTGCTCTGCGCTTTTTGTTTGTATAAACGCACATTTCTTAAACTAGCTCAATTATAAATATTTGCAAACCTGCATTTCGTTCGTTAATAAAAATTGTTATTAAAGGAAAAAACAGGACTCAGTTTGAAATTAATAGAAACCAATGAATCCCAAGGAACAGACAAACTTTAATAAGTTTGGAAGTTTTTTAGTTATACAAAGCATGTGGAGCATCAGAAGTTATACTTAGTAGACCATGCCTGCTTGTCTGTCCAAGCTCTACATTCTGATTTGTCATATCAATTTAAATATCGTCAGAATAAAGTATGTAAGAATAAGTTATGTAATAGATGGTTTAATTGAATGGAAAATGTATTTAATAAATAAAGATACTCATTTCCAAACGATAACAAAAAACCAAATCAAAAATCGTGATTTTAACAAGAGTGTCATGGATTTGAGTGAACTTTATTGCGCCACCTTGTTATAATTACACTATGACCCGTGCTGCCAAATGAGAATCTAATCAAAAACTACCCCCTTTTCTAATAGGTTAATGGTTACGATTCCATGTTCTTGTTAATTCGCTATTCACGCGCGATGCCATTTAAAAAAAAATGATATAAATTCTTGATAAATGCTTCATCAATAAAAATGGCGAGTGGACTTAGGCTGGAAATGAACCTGAATAACAATGATACTTTTCCGAGTGTATTACAAAGTATCCAGAGTGAAGTTCAATTCGATTTGATAAAACGTCGATAGCGACCGGAACTGGTGCTGGTTGATGGTCCATAACTTTCAGATAACACCACTGGTGCACACATACTTATTGACAAAGATAAAGAGCCATCATCTACAATGCCAATACTTATATATGCATAGTATGTATACTATAGGCAGTGAGGTATGTACTATATGTTTTTTTGTGCGAGTTTTATTTGCGCTTCTTGTTTCTGATTACAATTTATCAATTTTGCAATGCCCTTGCTTCAGTTATCGCTTTCGTTTTGGTTCCACAACAGTTAACTGTTCTTCTCTACGATGACTCAGTTGTGGGATTGTTATACAAATGGATATAAAAAAAAAAAAAAAAAAACATTTAAGATACAAAAACTTATTATCAGCTCAACCAAAATCATTCACAATTACTCCACTTGACTCGTCTTTGGTGTTTCATTTGTGAATCCGGGAATGTCACGCGCCCCATAGACGTCAGTTAATTACGAAGGCAATGGTGTCTCTAATCTCGACATGTAGTTGGCAATTAAATGGTGTTGTTCTCTCGATTAGAAAGTTTGCTTTCTGGCTGGCGCATTTTTAACCATTAGTCATATGCACCTATTATTATTATTTAAGAAGCTCTATGTTGTTTGAGTTCATTTTATCTATCCAACTCTGAATACAATTATGGGACATTGCAGAATTTTTTCTCGGGTATTAAGCCAATTCTTAGGAACCACCTTTGAAAAAAAAGGCTGTTACAAAACATCATGAGACGTCAAGGCGTCAGTAATATTTGTTAATTATACTATATAAATATGTTAAGTAAGCAAAAATAAACTCTAATTTTGTAAATACAAAAGACTAAGAAAAGAAGAATTTTCTCTATTACCGGCAGGCAGAACCAACAAATAAAAAAGTATTTTTTAAAAAGGTCTGTTAAATAGCTTTTTTAGGAATATAAATATTTCTTTAATTTAATTGCGCATTTATAAAAAGTATGGCAAAATAAAATACTGAGCGAGCAGTGCAGTAAAATTATGTTCGTAGGGAGGAAGGCCTTAATATATCAGTTTAATATTTGATTTATTGGTTTTGTTGCACTCTTATCGATAAAAATCAGCCAAGGAAAATCGTAGAAAATGTGCATTGCCTGGTGGTGGCTATAGATAGTATATATTTTTAGTGTGGCGATCGCATATTTCAAAATCAATAACTATAGTATATATGACAATCTTATAAATGGTATTATCTTGCGTCTAATATTATTTTAATTAACTCAACTCCTGCATAAAAAAAAAATAACTGATATTGAGAAGGAATTCCGCGACACTCTAAATTGAATATCTCTCCCCTTTTTAAAATTCTTTGGCCTGTTCCTTTTTAAATATATTTATAGATAGTAAGTAAATAATATTTGCATGAACTGTGGAAAAAACTGATAGGCTTTGATAAAGAAATATATAATATAATATATGATCTACATGTGACGTCATAGCAAGCACAAGATGGTGATGGCGGGCGAGTTTTGTGGCCTTTTTTTCTGCAACAGACTTCCAATAAGATATTTAATAAGCACTACACATGCCGCCAATCAAAAGATTAATTCTAATTTGCTATTATTATTCGTAGGGGGCTTTTCCGTTGTTTGCCATTTTTATTTTAGCAATTTAAGCCAACGATTAGTCATGCAGTTCGGAGCTAGGCCAAGTGCAAAATGATAACAGGAACAACATCGTGTAAATCAGCCCACGAAAATAGCTCGCACTCTGAGAGCAGCGAGTCAGTTTTAAGCTGGTGGAGACAAGCCCGATAAGGTCGGCCGACAGCGATATCATGGAGTAGCCGCACGTATAAAAGTATGACGGGCATTGGCGTAGCTTCAGTATTTTTCCGACGGCGCGCCAAGTACCAACGATAGCTTTAGCCATACAGTTAAGAGTGTGAAGGAACGAACGTATCGAAAAACCGTGTTCAAAATGTGGAAAATGTTGTTGTCAGTTGCCTTGCTGTGCCTGTTCGCTGCCAGCGCTCTAGGTCAGGACCAAACCGTGGACTGCGTCGCAGCCCAGGGCATTAGTTTCAATAATACCGAAGTGAGTGATAATTCGGAGTTAGAAAATCTAGATGGATCTATCTAATGTGTCCGTTAATATAGCTTTTTAGCACTTGGTATGAAGTTGCCCGCAACCCCGCCGCCGCCTCCAATTGCATCGAAGTGTCCACGAAGCTGTCGCAGGACAATACAACACTCAGTCTGACAGTCGCACACAGCGCAACGCTCTCCTCGAACTATATGAATGTGAACGAGGTGGCGTCCTTAGCGCTCACCAACCAAACTAACGGAACCAATTTAGTATTCTCTGTGAATGGCCAAAACCAGTCGGCAATTTTCGTCAAGCTGCTGGAGCAGAAGAAATTGGATAATGGCAAGAGCTTCCTTATCGGCTGTGGCCAAACCACTCCTGGCAATGCCAACACCACTTATGGATTCTTCCTGCAAAACATAACCGCATCTGCAACTGCTGACGAACTTTACAGCCTCAATCAAAACGCTTCATTGAAATACTCCTTCTTCAATGCAACAAGCAACATCACGTCTGTAAATCAAAGCGGGTAAGTTCGGATCTATATGATGAGCCCCGATTCAATGCTAATTAGTTGCATTCTTTTGTGCTTGCAGTTGCTTCCGAAACTCGGCGGATCGGTTAGTGCCGGCGTTTTCAGCACTGATGGCTCTTTTCTATATGCTGCTCAAGGCCTTCTAAAGCTGGATTGTTCAACTTGTTTATTCAAAGGCTCGTTATTCTTTTGAGTTGATTCACACTGATTTTTAGTTCTTTATGTATAAACAAAAATTTTTAATTTTTTATTTAGTTTTTAGTTTATTTAAAATTCCAATGTGTGTCATGATGAAATAAAAAAAGAAACGAATGACGCACCCAAGCTCCTATCTCTAATGCCAACAATAACAGCACCAACTACAAAACAAAAAAAACATCGAACAAGAAAATCAAGTGCCTCGGTTTCTCATTGAACTAACGTCGGGGAATGTTGCAATGGAGGCTTTAATTTGTTACCGACATGTACATACCTTACATGCCCGATAAGATAAGCGTAGTGACAACGGCAACAGCAATAAAAGCAACCACAACTCCACCACTCCAGCCCTGATAAGCATAAATACAAATATAAATACATATATTGTGGTAAACAGCGCTCAAACTAAATTGATAATTCTCAGACAAGCGGGACAAAATTAATCATACGCCCCCTTTATCAGGGCATTTGTTCACTAATTTCGCCATCGTTTATTCCTTATCGTCCTCCTCCATAGTTGGCAGACGACTTATTAGCGGGGCCAACAGGTGAATTACCCGTAAATATTATTTTTCGCTATAAATACGTCTCTTTTAATTAATTAGTAGGCTCTTCTTCACATTCGTTATCGCTAATATTGTAAATATACTATATCTTGATTCTGGTCTTTCCAATTTACAATAATTTTATTTTGCTTTTGTTCCTCGTAGATTGGCTATACTTGTAATTGTAGTTCAGCTGAAGTGAAATTCAATGCTCTAATGCGAATTTAATGATATTTTTAAAGGGGGTCTGAGCAAGTGCTAGTGATTTGAAGACTGAGGCACTCATAGATACGTTTCTAAAATCGACAACCATAGTATCTATGACAAATGAAATTTATTTAGAAGTAGCGTATCAGGGACAGCTTAAGTTATTTTTGTAGTGAACTCTAGTTAGGGTTCTATGGCAGATCATCTTAATATACAATACTTTTCATGCTCCGATTGAATTTCTCTCTCCAATTTCAATTTTACTCCACAGACTTTTATCTTAAGCGTGTTTCAATTTTTTGTTGTTGCGCTGCTTTTGACAGTAAAGCATATATTCGATATATTCGACAATGGGTATAGCTGTTTGAAGAAGGAAAAAAAACCCCAGCCTCTACTTACTTCCATCCAGACTAACCTGGACTATCAGTTTAAATATTGAAACAGTCCTTATTGGTATAATTCAAAAACTATTTTCCAACCCGAACAAAATAGGTTCCGCACAAGTTTAATTGTTAAAATAATGATTAAAAGAAAACTCTTATTCTTAAGGTTAATATTATTTCTCTTTCTCCCTCTCTCTTTAAAATCTGTAAAGATGTCAATAGCCCTTCTTTGAAAAGTATTCTCAAAACATCGTAAATTAGTAAAGTTATTTATTTTTATTTATTTATCTATTCTGCATCAAAAAATGAAAAGGAAACAAGTAGAATCGGGAATTTACGGAAAGGCAAGTTTACATAAATATATTTATTATTTGAATCAATATAGAGGTTGAGCCGATAATTCACCGTTAAATAATTTGCTTGAGCACTGCCTAGAGGTTTAAGCCATTTAAGTGTGAAATAGACCCAAAGAAAGTATAACGAATTGTGTCTAATTTGTTAATATTAATATAATGAGAAATCCGATATTATTATTCAATTTAGTAACCATATTATGGCCCTGAGTCTGATTCGGGAAAAAATAGTTTTTCATCTTTTCATTTCAAAAGGTGTTAATATTCCAAAAACTACATCGTTTCAACTGTAGAAGAAAATATGCCAAAAAGCTAAAGACACATCAATCACAATAAATTAGGCACCACACAATCTTATTTTATATTAACATGGAAATATATGTAAATGAGCTTAAATTACAAATTAATGCCACAGCCGATTCATACACTCGTAATTGGGTCACTTAATCTTTGTACACAGGTGTGTTTTGTGTGCTTGTGTTTGTGATAATATCTCATACGTTATATTTATGGTAGGCACTTGCACATAATACCAAAACGCTGTCAGTTAAGACCGACATAAAACTGTTAATTGAGTGTAAGTGACTGGCCATGCCATTGGCATTGAGCCAACCTGCAGACGAGAAATGATAGAATCTCTCTCATCAACTGAACAACACATTCAATTAAACGAAACGGTGCACATGCTTAGAAATGGAATTCAGTTGCAGGCAACATTTTCATGATATGAAAGCTTCAAACGCATTCAGAAGGCATCTACATAAATTACCAGCTAACAGACACTTGAAATAATACCTATACATACATATATATACATACATATATAGTACATCTGTGTTTATCAGAATAATGCAGCAACTACCCGACTATTAGTCTGGCATACACTTAAACCTCAACTCACAACTTAAGACAAACACCGACACTCAAAGAATAAGATGACTCGACTTGAGCTGAAGCTGCAGGAATTTTGCAAGATTTCAATTTGTTTGATAACATCTGCAGGCAACCTCCTTCACACACACACACGTATATATATAGTATATACACGCAGGAGCAGACACACTGGGAACAACATTATTACATTTCTCAAGCTTGCCACTCGAGTCTTGAGCCTTCAAGTGCCGGCTCTTGACTCCGCTCTCTCAAATATTGTAGCATATAGCCAGCCAATAAGCAAATTTCGAATGTAACATCGGGCATGGGGGGAAAAAAGTATTCACCGCCAACAATATTTCCCACCCGCATTTTCAATTCATTAGCGACTGCTGCTCGCACACACAATCGCACACACACACATGTAACATTGCAGAAGGCTTCGCAAAATTATTCAATGTTGACACTCTGATATTCCATTTCTACTCCTCCTCCTCCTCCTCCTCCTGTTCCTCCTTCTGTTCCTCCTCAGCGGATGCTACAAATACCTTTGGCTTGTCTGCGACTGAAATGTCAACGCCATGCTATTGTCCCGCTGTCTTCCCGTCCCTGTGTCCTGTCTGCCATTTTGTCTATTGTCCCTTCATGTTGCACGTCTGCCTGTTGTCTCTCTGCCTCAAAGCTTATTGGCTAGCCCAGGAAATTAATTAATAGTTCTGTTCCTAACCCTACTTCATTGTCCCCGTAAGCTTCCACTTGCCCCTATTTGCATGCATGTGTGCGTGTGTTTGTGTGGGTGTGTGTGTGTGTGTCTCAAGCATTTTGGCTTTTGGTTTTCCAAGCATTTTGACAGAGTCCTTGTTACTCCGGACGTTTTCTATTAGTGTGAATGGGTGGCGGTGGCTTTGTGTTGGCCCGCATTTTGCTGTGGCCAGCTGCCTTGATTAGCGTGCCGGACAACAACATTCCAATACTATATGTGTGACTGAATGTTTCAGAGGGGGCGTGAGTTAATCCCCATATATTAACTGGTCCATTACATCATGTTTAAGTGGTCTTAGGTACGAGTATATGCTAAAAATATCAACGTTGCCACAGAGAGGTACATTTTAATTAAATAAAATTATATTCCTGATCATAACTTAGAATAATTTGAGAATTTGGAAAATTCGAGCTCCAAAGTGGGGAAAACTAGCTCCAAAGTTTGTTAAAAAAATCTTCAGTTTTTCACCGATGAACTTCAAATTTGTTTTTTGTGATCTATAAAGGAATACAAAAAAAACTGCTTACTCAGTTTTTTGAAATTGGTCTTGGAGCTTGAATTATTGGGGTTTTAATTTTTCTTCACTTTTTATACCCTGTACCCAAAGGGTAAACTAGTTATATCATAAGGGAAACAGATCTTTTGAAGAATCATTTTCTACAACACAAAAACCAAAAAAAACTAGCATGTTTCCAAGTCACTTATCAATTAATTTCATTAGAAAACTGTTATACATAAGAATGCTTTTCTAGTATTTAAGAAATTACCTTTTCAGAAGACTTCAGGAAAATATATAATGTTTTTTAAGTCCTTCAAAAGCAAAAACTTTTTAAACCAATCGCTTTCTTCAAAAAACAACTGCTTGTAAATTATCTCGAATTAGTTGCTTCTTAGGTCTCCCTAACAATATATCCCACTAAATAATGAATATAAAAAAATACTTAAAATCAAATCTAGAGTTCCTATTCTTGACTCAAAACCGCATCGTCAATTCCTGTAATAAACCAGTTTTAGTCTCTAACTGTGTGAGCTCAACAAACGGTTTCCATTGAAAACCTATATAGAGATTTATGAAAACCATTGATTAAACAAATGGCTGGAATTTCTAATGAAAATCTATGATGGACTGACAGATTATTTTGAGTTAAATTTGAAATCCGCGAAGGGAATTTCTGCGAACGACTTCACGTTCAAGTCGACTTGTTGCTTTGTTGCTTTCAGCTTTCAGCTTTTAAGCTACTTAATCGTTGTAAACTTGATTTCGTCTTCAGACAGGCAACAACAATAGTAACAATATTCAAAAGCGAAGGCAACAAGAATGTAAGCAAACAATGTAACCAAATTGTACAACAACAACAACAATAAATAAACAAACAAACGAAGGACCGCACGGAAGGGAAGCGAAAGAAACCTCAGCGCGTAAATCGAAGGCTATGCTGATAGAGAGAGGGGGAGAGGGGGGCTTCTCAGAATCGAAACGAGTGCGGTCCAAGGGTCAAGCGTCAACAAAAGAAACCGCACACTCACATATACATACTATATATACACACATACACATATATATTTATTGAGAAAATGCCGAGTGGGCGCTGATCGGAGAGTAGGGGAATGGGAACAAAGATGACTGCGAAATATGCGTGTAAATGCCAAGCTGGAAGTGTTGGGTGATTTAGTGGCACTATGTTTACTCTTGCTAGCCTGTCTGTCGCTACACAGTGTATGTGTGTGTGTGTGTGTGTGTGTGTGCGTTGATTGGGTTGAAGCTTTGGGCAAACAAATAAACAAACAAGAAATCAGCAACAGTCACAACAAAAACAACAAGCAGAATTGAGCTTCAACTAAGCGAAAATTGATAAGTGTATAAAAAGGCAGAACTCACAAACACATCCACACACTCTCACACACTCACACACACACACAC